GGGGAATACCACCTCGCTGTTATATACCATTGGCATTGCGTTTTTTTTAGCCAAATACATGTTTTGAAAGAAAAAGCCTTGCATTTTCGGCCTTGCAAGAACAAAATCGGAAAATGTATCCGAAAAAGGAACAAACTGGGTGAATTGCGGATTTTTGTCCGTTTACCGAAGTGTTGTGAAACGGATATGTTTTTGGCAATTTTCCTGAAATTTGTGCATCCCGCAGCAGTTTCGGTACCAGTGTGATTGCAGCTGTGTTTAGTTGTATTAACAGGTATCTTTAACATGATTGTGTTTATTAGACACTAGACAAATTTTCTTAGTTTGCGAGCCTCTGTAAACAAATCGACATAAGTCAGCTGATTCCTAAATCTTTTTATATTTGTGGATTGAAATTCTTCAACAGAGAAGTTTATCGCGAATTTATTTAACAACAAACCGTATCCCCTAGCTATAATGGATTGGATTACTGTGCTAGTGCTAGTTGTATTTAGTGTCCAAATAACTCAACAAGTTGATTATGACTGCAATGATCTATTAATGGGTCAGTATCTATGTCCAGATCCAACTAAAAAACTAATCGATCCCAAAACGCAACAATTTTATGGGTGTACAAAAGAAAATAAAGCAAGAGGTATGTATCGAGAAACGTAATTATAAAATTTGTAGACAAATACTACCAATATTTTTCATTAACAGTTCGGTGCCTAGCTGTCGATGGCATAAATTGCACGGAAACTGGCAACAACACCTTCACGCGCGAATTACCATGCAAGTGGACGTAAGTATTGAAAGAAGTAAACGAATGCATGTTCATTGTTAACTTGAACCTTGTGCATTTTAGAAATGGTTATCACCTTGACACCACATTGCTGCTATCCGTGTTCTTGGGTATGTTTGGTGTCGACCGTTTCTACTTAGGCTATCCCGGTATTGGTTTGATAAAATTCTGTACATTGGGTGGCATGTTCCTGGGTCAACTAGTTGACATTGTCCTCATAGCTACACAAGTTGTAGGCCCAGCAGATGGTTCAGCATATGTGATACCATATTATGGGGCGGGAGTAACAATTGTGCGTAGTGACAATTCAACGTATCGCTTGCCACGCGATGACTGGTGAAACAGAAGTAATTAATGTAGTAAGCATTAATGCCATCTGAAGAGCTGGCAGGTAAATAATGGATAAGTTCAAAAATATTAGGGAATGTGGAACTGGATTAGATCTAGTGTTAAACTAATTCTTTGTGGTTTGATTGTTTGCAGCGTTAGTTGTTAAAGATAACTGGGTTTTAGCAGTTTTAGATTTGAAGCTGACTTTTTCGGTTTAGTTTACCAGCTCCATATTTGTAAATGTTTAATATAAACTATACAACTGACTGAACTTGTGAATATGAATGTAAATTTATCAATAGTGCAACTTTAGTAAGTAGGTTTACGAATTAAATTAACATATACATATACTTTAAATATAGAAAGGTGTTGTTTTTTTTTATTGAGAAAGAGCTTTTCCGTTAAAATAAACTGTTTGTTCCACTGAAAAAAATGTTACCTTAACGCATTCGTCAAAACTATTTACATTTGTTCGATTGTAAATGAGATGGTCTTGGTTACGGTTTCCTGCCACATTACGCTTTTCTGGTTTGGCCCAGCAATCTCCAACCATAAACCGCTTTACGGCAGAAAATGTTATTAACACTTCTGGTTAAAGCACGGCTGGAAGTCAAATATACTGGATAGGATTGTGCTAGGACACGTATCTAACGAGGACACCCTCTCATCAACGACCTGCTAGGCTCGGAAATAAATAGTCGTAAATTCTTAAAATAAGTACATATGTTTGTATGTTGTGAGTAAATTGTACCCACCAGTTTCTAACTTATGACTAAACGAGAATTTCCGTTTTTCCTTAGTAGTTTGCTGTAATAGTTTGTTAATGAAATTGTACATTCAATCAATTGCCTAAATGACTTCGAAATGTGTAATTGCATACCGCTTCAAAAGGTGCCAATTGCTTTACTTAATGTTACTATGTATGTTGGTATGTTCGTATGTTTAAATTTGTGTGCCACTTGCCCATAAAGAATTTAATTTTATTGCATTGGCTAAAAGATAAGTCATTATTAGTTGTATGAACAACAATAAAATACATACATTAGTGTTGAAAAAAAAACTTTCAGTCCAAGCCACTTGAGATGCTTATTATTGCATTAACAACATGCATACACATCTTCGTATTCTATACAAGTGAATGTTTGTATGTACCCCAAGGCATTATTTCGGCACTTTTATGCCTGCAACTATTGTATGAAGCAAATAATCATAAATATTTAAATTTTAATGAAGGTGTGCACTTGAGTTGGAGTTCAAATGTATATGGGCGAATCCAGCAAAAAGTCTACTGCGTAAAAAAAATAAAATAAAAGTTCAATATCCAAGTTATTTATAGGCCGATTTTGCTGTTTTTTTTATAATATATGCTGTTTATGTAAGAAGAAACATTTTTCCCAAAAATGGTCTTGTTAGGTGGCGCCAGGGTCGAGATATTTTGAAAAACCTATTTTTGCTCTGATTTGTTTCACATTTAGCATGTTTAGTTGAAACGTTGTAGGACATAGATTTGCGAAAAATCAAACTGCTGGTGGCGCTGATGTCAAAATAAAAAGTACGTTTGATATAAAATACATGTTTTCTTCCCGTTAAAAATTCTTTCAAGACCAATATCAACAAAACTTTTTCAATGGAAATTTTAGTAACGTAACAGTTACATTTCATAACTTGGAACATTAGCCTTAAACATGTCCAATATTACTACGAAAGCTTTTCTACAAATAGTAACTAAGAATACGCAAAAAGTGATAATCTAAAAAGTAAAAAAAGTGAATTGAAATTGGAAGGAGGCAAAAAACAATTGATATAGTAAGTGTTTATTGTGCTTGTGCTTGTGTGAATGTGTTTTGTACATACATTTCCATTCTTATTTGACGTTATTTTTGTTGTTGCCATTCTTTGGACTAAAAATTTGGTTTTTTGCGTTCCTTTACTTTTCCTGTTATTCTCTTTTAGTGAGCGCATTTTGCTTACGCT